TTGAGGTGGATCGCCGGATAATTATGTTGGAATGACATGACTCGAGAGCCCAGGTTGAATTAAACGCGCGTCGAGCTAGGGCTAGGCATTCTTGGAGGCAATCTCAAACATGAATTGTTCACGGCAAGTTCACGGAAAAAAAAAAAAAGGTCAAAAATCGTACTTACATAATTAACCGATAACCGTAATGATGGCCGCCTTGCGTCACCGCTCAACTTACATTTTTCACCGTTCAACTTACATTTTTTTGACATCCAACATACAACCAACATATACTAATAATAGCTCGAAAACTCATTCTTTACAATGAACTCTTCCGACCAACTTCCGACGGCTGTTAACATCGAAATGGAACCTTGAAGGGTGGCTAAATCCTATAAATTTGAGCCAGTTAATCAGAAATCTGCATCCTCGATGACCACCCAAATACCTCAGCCTCCCCGACTGCCTTTTATCGGCAATGTCACCCAGCTCGATAGAGAACTACCTATTAACGGCTTCACTCTCTTGGCCCAGCAGTACGGGGAAATATTTAAACTCGACATTCTCGGTACTATACAGCATCAGAGTCTATGAACCTCACTGATTATTATTATTTAACTATTACAACCACAGGCAAAGAAGTGATCTTTCTCAATACCCAAGAGCTCGTAAATGAAGTCTCTGACGACACTAAATTTCGGAAAAAGATAGGCGGAGGATTGCTGCAAGTTCGTCACGCCCTAGGTGATGGCTTGTTCACTGTAAGACCCTTTTTCAAACAGTGTAGACTCTTTTTCACAGCTTGAGGTTTAGGCTGATGAACACGAACCTAACTGGGGCATTGCACGTATGTGATCTGAGTGGATTCGGGTATACCAAGCAGCTAAAGGTATTGTTAATAGATCGCCTTCTAATGCCTGCATTCAACGCTTTGGCGGTTCGAGATATGATAGAAGATATGCGTGATATATGTGACCAGGTTCTTCTCAAAGTTTGTACTACTCTTTTGCTTTTGATTTGTGTTTCTGACCGTCATTTCCAGTGGGAACGGTACAGACATTTGATCGCAATCACTCGAACATCCTTGCTCACTTCCTTTATTAGTTTTGGGCCTGAATATGTTATTGATCCCTCTGACGATCTCACTCGAGTCGCTCTTGACACCATTGCCTTGTGTTCCATGTCATACCGGTACGGTTTGATACCTCTTTGTTTGAAAACAGAATCCTCATTTTATACTTCAGATTAAACTCATTCTACACTGTATGTTGTAGTATCTCCTTATCCTACATCCATAACTAACACTTGGACTTAGGAAAACCAGCCCCTTTCGCTGCCGCCATGACTGATTTCTTGAAAGAATGCTCCGCTCGCATTAGCCGTCCAGCTATCATACAAGCCCTGATGACGAAGACTACGGCAAAGTGGGAAGAAGACACGAAGTTTATGACGGACATCGGTAATCGCAGTGAGTGTCTTCGCTCGACTCTATTCTCAAACTGACGGTGATATTCCTAGTTCTTGAGGAACGGAAAAAAAATCCCGTTGAAAAGAAGGATCTCTTAAACACCATGCTGTACTCGAAAGATCCCAAGACTGGAGAGGGATTGCCAGATGATGCTATCATGAAGAATGTAAGTGTTTCGTATTCTGTATACCTTTCAGCTTGCAGAAACTAACGGACCTCTTCCCAGCTTCTCACTTTCCTCGTTGCAGGTAACAACCGACTACTATAACTTTATTCATTGTCTAATCTCATTCCTGGAATCTACAGGCCATGAAACCTCATCAGGTACGTTCGGAGAAAGTTCGTATTGCCATTCTTTGGCTTCTTATCATGCTTTACAGGTATGATGAGCTTCATGACCTATTATTTGATCAAGAATCCGGAAACGATGCGCAAACTCCAAACTGAAATCGACGAAGTCCTCGGCGGGGAGCCCGTTCAATACCAGGACCTGAGTAAGATGGTTTATCTCAACGGTAATTCACGACACTAGATCCTATCCTCTGTGCACTGATTTTCAACAGCTGTTATGCGCGAAACACTTCGTCTTGCCCCTACTGCACCCATACGGACCACAGTCGCTCTGGAAGACACTTGTCTTGCAAACGGAAAATACTTCATCAAGGGTGGATCGACTCTCTTCGTGAATGCGTGGGTCTACCAGAAGGATCCGAAGGTCTGGGGAAAAGATGTTTGTAGTTATCTTCATTTTTAGTGTCGACGTCTGATCACTATTCCAGGCCAATGAGTTCCACCCTGAAAGGATGTTAAATGGAAAATTCGACTCACTCCCTGTAAGTTTCCTTACCCTTGCTGGCCTATACCGAAATTGAATCTACCCTCATTAGCCTAATTCTTGGCAACCTGTACATTTTTCCCTCTCATTACAAGACCTAATTCTGAGCCTTCGTCTAGTTCGGGTTCGGTATAAGAGGGTGCATCGGCAGGCCATTTGCGTGGCAAGAAGTTAGTCTTGTTATGGCTTCAATCCTGCAAAAGTTCGACCTATCATTCGTTGATCCGGCATACAATCTGGAACTCAAGCAAGCTCTTACGGTTAAGCCGAAAGACCTTTTCATCCACGCGAGGCTTCGTAATCGGTCTCCGCGATTCCACTCGACATCGAGAGGTCTTCCCAAGCAGATTCAGCAGAGCAGTGTTACTGCTACGTCTAGAGCTCCGAGCGAAGCAAGACGCCCAATTTATCTCTTCTATGGATCAAATACCGGATCGTCTGAAGCTTTTGCTCAAAGAATTGCGAGCGAGGCTCCGAATTATGGTGTGTACTTTACGTTCGCTAGGAATGAAGCGTACTGACATCGACTCTGTGCACGTATGATTTACACCTAAACTAGGTACCTTGGATTCAGCAACAGGACACCTTCCAACCGATGGTCCAGTGGTTATCTGCACTGCTTCATACGAGGGTAAACCTTCGATTTTAATATATCTTCCCCTCAAGTTGATGATGTACACCAAGGTCAACCTGCTGACAATGCCGCTCGTTTTGTTGACTGGCTTTCAGCTCTCAAGGCAGATGAGCTCAAAGGTGTGCGTTACGCGGTCTTTGGCTGCGGAAACAGCGATTGGGTGCAAACCTATCAACGCATCCCTACCCTTGTTGATACAACGCTGGAGGAGAGGGGTGCAGAACGTCTTCTTACTCGAGGCGCTGGAGACAGCAACGAAGGAAACTTCTTTGACATCTTTGACCAGTTTGTGAGCGACTTGTGGACGACTTTGACCAAGGTGAGTGTACGATTGTTTGACATTTACGACTTCTCAATGTCTATTAGGTCTACTCTACTGTTCGTTCAGACTCTCCCAGTTCCGGATTTGCGGTCGAAATTGTAGACCCCGGCACCAGTCGACCGACTGCGTTGCGTCAAACCGACGCAGGCTTAGGACGAGTCGTTGAAAACCGCATTCTTACTAGACCTGGACATCCTATCAAACGACATATCGAATTTGAGCTTCCCGAAGGTTCGACCTACCGTGCGGGTGACTACCTGACAATGTAATTCGTTTTTCTTCACCTGGTGTCTCTTCGTGCTTACCTCTGTTTCAGTTTGCCTCAGAACCCTCCTCGAGATGTTCGTAGGGTACTTGCCCGCTTTGGATTATCGAACGAGCAAACTGTAAGTAAACCTTTTAATTGGAAGATGGGCGATAATATTGAGGGTTCGGTATAGGTGACGATTTCTTCCGTGGCTCCGACATTCTTACCAGTGGACAAGCCCGTTTCACTTGCCGAAATACTCAGCGGTTATGTTGAACTTTCACAACCGGCAACTACCCAGGATCTTCGTATTCTAATAGAGGCAACAACCAGTGGTACCGTCCGAGCTGAATTAACTAAACTCAAGGATTCCTATCAAGATACCGTTCTATTGCGCCGACTAAGCGTTTTGGATCTCCTCGAGAAATATCCCAAGGACCTCAATCTTGACCTTTCAACTTACCTCCGCATGCTTCCGCCCATGCGAATTCGGCAATATTCGATCTCTTCCTCTCCCCTCTGGAACGCTCAGCACGTCACTCTCACTGTGAGCGTACTCGAAGCAGAAGCGTTGTCCGGGGAAGGAAATGTTTTCCTCGGTGTTGCTTCCAACTATCTCTCGGAGCTAGTCCCTGGCGATCGGGTACAGATGTCCGTTCGTGCTTCCGCTGCAGCTTTCCATCCTCCGGAAGACCCTAGTATTCCCTTGGTTGCTTATTGTGCGGGCTCTGGACTAGCCCCAATCAGAGGGTTCATCCAGGTTAGTTTTATAGATTACTCCATGGAGTTGTCACTGACTGCTTTCGTCTTCAGGAGCGAGCCTTGCAAAAGATGTCCGGTCGGGAAGTCGGAAGATCCTTCTATTTTTCGGCTTGTCGTGATCCCGAGGCCGATTTCCTTTATTGTGGTGATGATCTGGCGGAATGGACGAAGCATTGGTGTTGTGGATGTTCGGCCAGCGTTCTCGAGGTCTCCAGATAAGTCGAAAGGATGCAAGTACATCCAAGAGTAAGTGTCTTTTGGCCGATCGACCTACATTTTTGCTCATTGATATGGCTTTTTTCAGTCGTCTATGGGTTGATAAGGAGGATGTCGCGAATGCCTTCCACAGTAAAGCACAAGTGCGTTTACCCCAAGTTCTGTATATTTTGACACCACTCATTTTTAATTTAATCGATCTAGTTTTTCGTCTGCGGCTCAAACAAAGTTGCAAAGGCAGTCAAAATCCAATGCGCAGAGATCTTGCGATCCTTCCGTCCTGGTTTGGATCAAGTCACAGCAGTTACAGAACTGGAAACATTGTTGAAAGGGCGTTTTACAACTGGATGTTTTCGATTGAATTCAGCAAGACTAAAGCTGTGAATACTTATGTACTTACTCTCCTTACCCTTTTGGTCGATGTTAAAGCTGTAAATACTGGAGATATACTTCGATTTTGCTTTCATTTGTTCGGACCTTGTGCTAGATCCTGACTTGATAAGCAAGTATTCAAGTGTGCCATAGCTGCTTCATGGGCACATGGTGTAGTTGGTTATCACATCCGCTTAGCATCCATCATCAAGGTTTCGCTTGTTGTGCGGGGGGTGCTGGGTTCAATTCCCAGTGTGTCCATACGCTTTTGACCCCTTTGTTTATTTCATTTTTTCCCTAAGTTCCAATATGTAGTCCTATATACTTACATGATCTCTCATCATGTTGACCAGGTGCCCTAATTGGTATCTGGCAGCATCATCGTGTAAGTGGACTGTGTTATACTGTACACTACATAGGCTCAAGCAAGATGCAACAAGAACCACATGAATTGATTCTATAGACAGTGGAAGCAAACAAGACATTCAAAGTATATAGTACTGTTACATGTCCCCTGTATGAGCTACTTATAATATAATACCCACATGCAGGCAGGACTGCCATTGATATTATTGGATTCAGACTGACAAGCCTAACTGCATTGTCCATCAGAGTTATTTGTTCCGATGAAGGAACGTACCACGCATGTAGCACCGTGTAATGTATCTTGTTTTGTCCCAGAGGATGCTATCTGTTATAAGCACAGCACCTAAGAAGCATAACATACTTACTCATTCTTTATTTAACAATCTAATTTTTTTTGTCTGCAGCTCAAACAAAGTTGCAAAGGCAGTCACAAACCAATGCACAGAGATCTTGAAATCCTTCTATCCTGGTTTGGACCAAATCACAGCAGTTGAAATGGCGTTTTACAATGGAATCTGGATGCTTGCTTACCCTTTTGGTTGATGTCAAAGCTGTAAATTGTTATATCCATGCATTCCGGTGCCTCCAAAGTCCACCAATTACCCTTAAATTACCGCCGAGCTTCCGGCGCCTATTTCTGAGGCTTACCGAGCCTATATCTCGGTAATAATCTCGGAAACCTCGGCCATACCTCGGCTGGAACCCAGTTGCAAGTCATTGACTTGTTTGGACTTCATTACGGTTCCTTTCCTCGCTTTCCAGTCTCGCTTCCGTGTCCGCCGGAGCCGAGCCGTTCCCTTCTGTTCCGAGCCTCAGTAACCCTCGGAAACCCTCGGAACAGTCTCGGATATATCCCCAGTACCTTCGGACGCCTTTCCCATGCTTTTGTTTTATGGTACTTATTGTTTTATTGCCTTTTATGTTCTTTTGTCTTTCGCTACTGAATTACTTTATTGTTTTTACTTACCGAGTACCCGGTCCGGCTCCCGGGAATCTATTTCTTATTGTTAAACACTTTCCCCATTTATCCAGACTTAGTAGTATTTAAGTAGTTAAACTTGTACTGTAACTTTAGCTCCAAAATCGACTTAGTCTAGCTGGTCTCACTTTCCGAGTCTTGCCTTTGTCTTTCCGACATTTCTGGTTACTAAGCCAACACAGCCACGTGATCTCGGCAAAACCTCGGCTCCGCCTTTGGTTCCGCCGCCTTGACTTAGCTTAGGCCTTTCCCATTGTTTTCCTCTTGGGACACCTTATGGTGTGTCAAGGGTGTTGCCAATAGCTTCACCAAGTCCCATATCTCACGAGGTCCAGCCTGGGCCCTTTCCGGACTATTTCCATCTGATACCTCGGCCGCTCTGCTCCGGGTCGCATGGACTTAACATAAATACTAAAGATATACTTCCATTTTGCTTCCATTTCAATTTGTTCTTTTTGAAATGTATCTGAAAGAAATGCCTTGTATTAGGCACACAAAGTTACATTTGCAGTAGATTTGTATCCAATAGTCTTCCGCTGTATATAATCCAGTCTTGAAAGATGATGTAGTGTACTGCGTATGGGCACATGGTGTAGTTGGTTATCACATCCGCTTAGCATTTCTAGCTTCGTGTGTTGTGTTATGTTGTGCGGGGGGTGCTGGGTTCAATTCCCAGTGTGTCCACTGCAATTCATTATGAGTATTGCTTTGTTTGTATTTCTGTTTTTCCAATTTCTACTATGTACTGGTAATACCCCGTCAACGAAGTGCACTCATTGGTATCTAACGGCAGCTAGCTAGGACCCTGAACTCGCATCGTTGTGAGGCAGGTTGTTGTACTGTATAGGATACGCTCAAGCGAGATGCAAGTCCACCAAGGACCAAATGGAGTATGCAGACAGTAGAAGCAAAACAAAACATTCAAAAGTAGTACGTGAAGATGTAGTTATCGAGTAGTCCCCTGTCCGAGTTATTGATAATGATATACGTGCAGGCAAGACTCGTTAATTTGATATTTATTGGTTCCAGATCGACAACGTTGTTCGTCGTATTTGTTTGTTCCGGATGAACCAGATCTTCCATCTTCTTGTTTCGTCCCAGAGAACGCTATTTGATGTAAGCACAGCACCTAAGCATGTACGCTATGAATGATGAACAACGAAACAAGTGCCTTGAGCGATCTATTCTTCAAGGTCTTGAGATCGATTCCAGTTCTCTTGCAAGCTTCCAGAACGAGAGAAAGAGATAGTCTCATAGGAGATGGTCCAAGCTTCAAGCCGAGTTGGACGACAGAAAGAAGATTTCGACGCACAGACAGACCAAGATTGATGGATACGTGTCGGGAAAATCGTATGGACGTTGTCTAGACGTAGAAAGAGGTAAGTGTCAGTACTAGTGTAAGTTGGTGAAAGTTATATAAGTAGACGCACAGATTAATGTAGACAATTTCCTCTGAAAATAATGAGCCAACGTCGACAGAATTGCAGCAACAATAGACAAGGAGAACAAAGGGCCGGGGAAGAATGGGGGATTTTCTGCATGCGCGCCAATTGCTGTTGCTTAAGTACACACCATCAAAAGATTCAAACTCCGACTATACCTCAATTTCAGCAAACGTCGATGCTTGCGAGCTCAGGATGAATGTACGTCGTTGATTTCTTCTATTTATCTCTTCATTTCTCATTAGAATTGCTACAGAATCTCCTAAGGACCTTGTCCGAAAGCAGCAAAGTCAAAACTCTGCCAGATGTCGGCGTCGACCTGAAATTATTGCTGAGTACGGTTAAGGATGGTCGTGGAGTGCGTATCGTTCGGATTTCCGCTAGAATCACTGATTAATATCTGCTTTTGTAGCGGAGAGATGATACTTCTCTATCTGCCGCCTTCTATGAATCTCTTGAAGGCGTTTTGGCCGACCTCAAAACGGTTACTTTGGTAAGTTAAAGCCGAGGTATCATTATGGACTTGTTTGAACTGGCGCGTAGGATAACCATGATGCGGAAGCCTTCCTCAAGCCAGTACTCAAGGCCGAGGTTCCGGATTACCATGAGTGTGAGTGCACCGGGACAATAGCTCGAATGATGCAATGAACTGCTTCCAGTTATCTCCAACCCCATGGACTTTCAAACAATGAGCAAGAAGCTCAAAAACAAGCAGTACAAATCCAAGAAGGAGTTTAAGGATGATTTGGATCTTATTTGGAGCAATTGTGCTACTTATAATTCTACACCGGTGTGTCTACTTGATACATCTATCCGTTCATCTCACTTACTATGCCAATTCGGTTAAGGGTCACCATCTCCCCAAAGCAGCTGCACGCCTGAAAGCAAAAGCCGAACGACTATTAGCGAATGTAACAGACAGGAAAGAACGTGCCGATCCTCATATCCCGATAGAATTGGTCTCTTCATCCTCTGCCCATCCAAAGATTAACGGTATCAGTATCAATGGACGAGCACATACGCGTTCTCCGTCCATCCCAACAGCGAGAGCTCTTCCTATCGCCGTTAAATCTTCCTCTTCCCGCTCCAATTCCGCTTCCGTAGGCAAAGCCTTCAAGGTCTCCCGACGCAATATGGCGTTCGAAGATTCCCCGGCGTTAATACGAACACCGGAGGGTATGGCCAAGTTTCGGGAGTTGGAGAGACGTGAAGGGTCATCCTCAGTAGTCACTCCGTTAGTGGAACCCGAACTCGCAGGTGGCGACTACGACAGTGAATCATCGAGTGCTGGGGATAAACGAAAAGCCAATGGGATCAGCCACGACCCCAGAATGACTAAACGTGCACGGTTTCCTTCTACATCCACCCCAATACCGACAACATCCGCAGAAGACGACCAATGGTGGAACGTCGTCCAGTCCGATGATTTTTTACCCAACGGGCTACCCGAATTGGCGTTTTCTTCGTCATTAGCACCCTCACATAAACCACATCCATTCCTTCATCCCCATACCCAACAAGGTGTCCCTCCGATAACCAACTCGATACCCCAAACCGCCAGAAAGAAGAAGCGCCTGAAGAACCATACCAAGCCGGGGCAAATTCACGTCAAGCCCAAGGCCCTTCTCACCCTCATGAATAAAAACATACGCACCATCAAGCGTATACGACATACGCATGTAAAGTTTGCGGCGTTGGGATTGGGTTCTTCGTCTGGTGCTGCTGCAGGGGGTGTTGGGGGTTTGGGGAACGACGATGAACCGCCAGAGTCGGTGTTCAATCCACCTCCTAGTGCTGCTGTTGGTGGTGGTAGTGTTCTGGGAGCAGGAGATCCGATGGACGTGGATGATGCTGATCTTGATGATAGGGTTGATGAGACGCCTTGGGAGGTGCCAAGGGTGGGGAGAGTACGCGTAGCGGCAGGGGCTGTCAGCGCAAAGGGCAAAGGCAAAGCAGGAGGAGAAGGAGGAGTCAAAGGTCGAAAACTAAGCGGAATCGAGCTCGGTAGCAAGAATGCGGATGATTGTATTAGGTGGATGAATGGGAAGGTACTGGAGCATGCTGGGTTTCAAGGTGTGTTTATATTTCGTTTTGTTGGGTTTTTCTCGGGTCTTTGGTGGTTTTGTGGTTATGCGCTATTGATGGGCGTTGGATGGATGTTGGATGTTGATTGGATCTGGACGTTGTTGGTTGTTTTGGGTTTTGGTTCTTATACGTCGATGGACCCTTTTTTGTGCTTCCTCGTGTTGTGTTGCATATCAACACGTTTTTGCTGTTCGTTTCGTTTTGTTGGTAATGGCGGCCGATTTTATCTCATCGTGTCGTCCTTTCTTAATTTACCTCACCTTGTCTTTTCCCCTATCCATATCCATCTGGACTAACGCTGAATGCTTTTACAGGTACATCACGCGCAGCACTGGATGTTCTGTCAGGCGTTGCGTCAGGATATCTTCTCAATGTCGGCCGGACGATCAAGTTTTTGTGTGATAAGTTTGGAGGAAGGATGAGTCCGGAAGTGAGTGTTTTCTTCCGTCTATCGTTCGTTGGTTCGGAATCGGCGTCTTTCGAAAGAGTTTCCTTGGCTCCCTTCACAAACTAATAATGGCTACTTTTTTCTTCCAGGAAATAATCCTCCACACCCTCTTCGAAAGCGGTATCTCCGGAGTCCAAGATCTAGAACGGTACCTTGCGGATGATGTGGAGAGGTATGGATCGAGGTTGGGTGATATTGAAAAGAAGTTGGTTGGTGCTTATAGGGAAGTTGTGAGTATTTTCCTTAACGCGTATGCCATCAATCGTTTATTGATACGTATATCTTTTCTTACAGACTTCTGTCGAAGCATTGGAGGATGAAGGTCTATTCGATGAAGAGGAAGAGGACGAGACAGGCGCTTTGGCACTGTATGTATTTTTTCTTCTTCTGACTGGTTGTGTTTGGCTGACGGGTATTTGTGTAGTGGTGACTTTGCCGACACCCTCGGCGTAGATTACCTTGGTCTCCGCGAACTCGGTATCGCTGATGAATTTGGCATGTCGAGTTTGACGATTCCAAAGAGGCTGTTGAAAGGGAAGAAAAGGAGAGAGGCTCTGCCTGTGTATGTCTATCCTGCCATATCCACGCTCTACTCAAGTCTAACCTCGTTTTTTGTCTAGTGCCAAACCAAACACACCTCCGCCTCCATTCCCACCTCCATCTCCATTTATACCACTCACATCTGGGGAAATACCGAATCAGATTGGACTGTTGCAAAAGTTTTATCAGGAGAGGGTGCAGGCTGTTATGCCGCCGCCTTCTTCTATACCCTCAGCGATTCCTTCTCTCGCGGGGCCCTCTATCGGCGTTGGAAACCCGTATCCGACGATTCCTTCTCTTCCCAGACCGATGCTTGGGTTACCTGGACCGTCATTATCCCAGGCATCGACGACTTCGACCGTCGGCGATCTGCCTTTACCTCCCTCTTCTCAACTACCCGCGTCGTCCTCCCAAACACTTTCATCTTTAACCTCCTCTGCTTCCGTCCCAGGCCCAGTTCCTACTCCCGAACTCGACCCACACACCACGATCCCAGACGATCCTACCCCCTCGCATCCCGCGCAACTCAAGATGGGTCCAATTGGACAAATCGCAGTCGTCAAGACTGGGTCTGGGTCTGGCGCTGGGGCAGGAGGGTATGGTGCTGGTAAGGGTGGGAATAAAGGTAAAGGCAAGGGACCTGGAAAGGGGAATGGGAAAAAGGATAAGGACAAGGATAAAGATAAGGATAAGGACAAAGACAAAGACAAAGATAGCGGTAGGACGCCTACGACGCCTCCTTCTGCACAACCATATTCTCCGGCAACTTTGAGCAGTGCCGGCGGTGCGGGTGCGGGGATGGGTATGAGTATGATGAACGGTATCGTTAAATCTGAACCTGGAATGACAACGATAACGGCAGGGACAAACTTTGTGGTGTCTCCCAATGGTACAGGAGGTGGGTACCCAATGACGATGCCTATGACGATGACGATGCCCATGTCAATGTCCATGCCCGTGTCAATGACTATGCCAATGACCATGTCCATGCCGGGCAGTAACAATCCATACCTTCAACCGCAATCCCAGTTTCAGCCCCAGGCTCAACCCCAATTCAGCCTCCCTGCGACTCCGACTCCGAATCCAGCTCCCAACGGGAACGCAAAGAAAAACGGTGCGGGTACTGTGAGGAAGAATTCAAAGGCGCAGAGGATGCAGTTGGCGGAAGC